GAGAGAGAGAGAGAGAGAGAGAGAGAGGGCGTTCGGGAGAGTTAGACTTTGCAACCGTCTTGTGGTAAGGTTCCAGCGCTGGAGGAGTCGAGCTTGAGCCCTCGCACGTCCTCTGCTGGGTTCGTGGCACAGTTCAACTTTTCCGTTCACACAACGGAGGGGTGAGGACGCTTCGTATACGCCGTTGAAGACTCATGCCAATCTGCAGCAAGAGCGTCTCATGATCCCAGCAAGCAGACTGCAGGGCGTCTGGTGGAGAGAGGATTTTTGAACCGTGTTAAGTCGGCGTTGTGGACCTCCACCCTCACACGTCGAGCGGTGCGGCTAGAGCTCTTCGCACGCACACCACCATCTCGAACCTGCGGACGCTGGGGACCACTTGCTATTCGTGGACATAGAACCTGGTTGGGCGTTGGATCATCATGTCGCTGCTTCGACCGTTTCGGGCGACGGATCTGTTCAAGTTCAACAATGTCAACCTGGACCACTGGACGGAAACGTACACACTGTCGTTCTACCTCTCGTACCTTGCGCAGTGGCCCGACCTGTCGTTCCTTCAAACTGCGCCTTCTTCCGGGCGAACGATGGGGTATGTGATTGGCAAAGCCGAGGGTCGCGAGTCCACCACTTGGCGCGAAGCACCTACACTGCACGGACACGTGACGGCCATAACGGTCGCACCCGAGTACCGTCGATTGGGACTTGCCAATGGCATGATGCATCTACTGGAAGACGTCTCAAACCGCGTCTACAATGCCTACTTTGTGGATCTCTTCGTAAGACCCAGCAACACCACCGCCGTCACAATGTACGAGGGTCTGGGCTACGGCGTGTATAGAACAGTCAAGGACTACTACTATAAAGGCGGCAAGGACGGTGGAGATGAAGACGGCTTCGACATGCGAAAGGCGCTACCGAGAGATAAGGACAAGAGAACCGTAAGGAGCAATGGCCGAAACTTTACCGTACAACCAGAGTATGTCACAACCTCCCTTCCTCCCCGCAACTCTCAACACCATCACTGCATACTGACTCTTCGTCATCGTTGCGCACAGGAACACGATCTTCGAACCAGCCTATCGACCTTGATACAGTGCATTGGCGCGCGTGACTATGGCGTTTGAAACGGTCGATCGATACCAAGCGCGCGTGTGACACGCAGAGGCATACAGTACGTCGGATCGACCTGTTGCAACCCCTCGAATCCCAACAGCGAAAGTCCTACTCCGACAAAGAACCGGTCAGCAGATTGATCCCGAGTCCGCGGCGTGCACGGCCAACTTACCTGCGCATCCAAACACGGTGTGGAAGACGTCGGTGACGTTGTCCGGTCGATCGGCAATGCCACCTTCGTCCGAATCCTGTGCGCACGTCCCACCGTGATGTTCGGTCAGTTCTGCGCCACTGCCGAGGTTGTGTTAGTGGGGACGTACCTGTGCCGAGAGGATAAAGTGCTTGAGCTTGTCTGCGTTGATCCAGTGCAGCCTGCCGATGACGCTGAGGGTGGACAGCACCCACCAGCTGTAGCAGACGTCTTCGAGCTTCTGCGGTCGCCCGTTGAGGCCGCCATTGGGCAGCTGTCTCTCGGCGAGCCACGCGCCGACGCGGTCGCAGTCGATCTCGTCCAGAGCCTCCAGGATGGATAGCGCGCCCACGCTCACCCACGCTGCCCCGTTCCAAAGAGGTAAGTGTTAGCAATGCTGCGGTCTCGAGAATGACGAGATGGGCGGAGGGCGTACCTTGTGCGGCATGGCTTTCTGCGCCGGGGTCGGTGCCGAAGCCTCCATCGGGATTGTGGCATGCGAGGATGTAGCGCACGGTGCGATCGCGGTCAAGCTGGTCGAGTGCCCCCAGGTGCGCAAGCGCCGATACCGCGCAGTAGAGAAAGCGCGTATCGATCTCGCCCCACTTGTCGCCCTGAATCGCGCCACTTGGCAGCTGAAGCCCCAATATAACTGCATCGCGATCGCCAGAATCAAGACCGTTTGATCAGCGACTCTGCTTCTCGCGTTCCGGATAAGGCGAAGAGCTGCTTACACTGTACGAGTCTGCCACGGACGCCTCTGGTGTCGAGCTCGCCCAGCGCATCTTTCATGGCGAGGATCTGGATGGCGGAAAGCGTGCTGTGAACGTGCGCATCGTGCCCCGGAAACGAGCCAAAGCCGGCGGTGTCGTCGTTCCAACAGCTAAAGACAAAGTCGATGAGCGCCTGGCGGTCGAGCACCTCGGGTCTGCCCAGGATCTCGAGCGCAGTGAGGCCCCAGTAGACGCCGTTCATGCGCAGGTGTGTGGTGAAGTGGTAGGCGAGCGAGTCGCGCTTCTTGTCGAGCGCCTCGACGAAGGCGACGTGCAGCGGGATGAGCAGCTCGCCCGGTGGTGCGCGCGGTGTTGCGGCTGCTGTGGATGTCGACATCGTGCACCAACGGCCCCCGTTGTGCGGGCTGGACCAACAGGTTTGAGATCGTGATGGACGGAGGCGAGCAAGGAGGTCCTGGAGTTGCCGGCCTGACCAACACCTCAATACGCCGATCGCCCGATCTCAGCACGCGCCTCCACTTTTGGAGCCGTCTTCGCGCCGACTTTCGCGCCGACCAACTCAGCCCAAAAGTGTTACTTTTTGGGCGTCACTTCGCAGGCAGCCTTCCTTGTCATCTGTCACCCACCCCATCAAACGCTGCGGCTCAGCTCAGTTCAGCTCAGCTCAGCTCAGCTCAGCTCAGCTCCTCCCACCGACAGCATCCCAATGCTGATACCTCACCTG